TTTGTTCTTCTTGTCTGAGTTTACCCCTCAAGAAATCACCGAAGCATAGTTATAGAGTTACACACAGCCTGACAACATCCGTCAAACACAAAATAATGTAGTTAATCGAGTTTTATGGTCAAAAGCAATGCTTTTGCATGTTGTCTAAATACGTGGGTATATAAAATTACCATAATTATATAAACAAGAAGTGCTAATGAAGTAATGTAACAGATCCCTTTTCCTGCCTTAAGGTGTGTTGAAGCCCAAAGTGTTTTCTTAGATAGTGTGGCATTCAATAGGGCAGGGCTATTTAACTAAGGTTTACCCAGGGTTCAAAGTATTCGAACTGGGGATCGTTAGGGACCAGAAGTCTGAGCCTCCGCGTAGGAAGATCATTAATACAATACAATTGGCAATGATCCCTGGGCCACTTACTAGGCCTCTGTGGATTGGATTAACCCCTGGACCACTAGTTGAATAGCCCTGCTACAGAAAACTCTGCCATCATCAAATTGACTATCTTTATTTCCGAGACAATTATTTGTTATGTTATGTAAAATTATCACAACTGACAGCACTGCATACTTGGGCATTCCACAACTAGCTCCACCAGACGGGCCGTACTGCTGACATCACAGGGTCGAGCTAGTGATGCGAATAAAAGCGGTTCTAAAAAAATAAATAAATTTTTTTCGGCAGTGGTGAGGGAAGACAACTTAAATTTTATTTTCTAAGTATCTACAATTTCACAATTTTTAGCTGACTTTTCTTAATTATTGTCGCCGCACTCCTGGCATACGCTCACGGCACCCAGTTTGAGAACCGCTGCGCTAAACACATCCTCAACTGGACCCGGTGACGTCAGCAGCACGGCCCGTCAGCTGGAGCTGGTCCTGACTAAGCCCTGGAGCATCAATTGAATAGCCCTATAACAGAGGATACTGCCAGCAGTATACTAACTACCTTTCCTTCCCAGAAAATTATTTGTTAAGTTATGTCACATTATCACAACTGACACTACTCCATACTTGGGTATTCCCATATTTTCTCAGAGTCCTCCAGTGCAGCAGGCACCAATTGCTCCCATGAGAAGCTGGGTGTGTCTGCTAAATGTGGGTAAAATGTTCAGGATTCTGCTTACGCCACTGGCACATAGGGTATATAGTGCTAGTCAAATGATGTTATAGACAATCAGTGACAGATGTGGTCAACTTTATGATCACAACTGCTTTCCAAGACATTTCCTCATGCTGATTTTACACTGACATGGAACTTTGGCCTTTGCCATGGAGACATGCTTAGGAATGAGCAGGCGGATAGGTTGGCTGGACTTAAAAGGCAACACAGACATGCTTCACCAGACTTTACTCTCAGGTCACATAAACATGTTGAGTGTCAGAGATTCATCATTATCCGTCACTCTAGCGAATACAGTCTCGATGATATTGTCTATGTTCATGCTTCATCTCTCATGCAGAGGTGCATTACTAACTAGCTGGTCCACTCATTTCTGACTGGCATCTATCTATCTTTACAGACGACCGTTACACTGTGAGATGAGGAGGCACAGAAAGCACAGCCCAAGGATGGTCAGTGTGACTAGCAGGACCCATCTGAATGTCATGATGCCAATCTGGCAGGACCCATCTGAATGTCATGATGCCAATCTGGCAGAACCCATCTGAATGTCATTATGCCAATCTGCCCAGCATCTTCTCTCCTGGTCTCCCTCTATCTCTCTTTTCCTTCCCTTTCCTGCCATCATAAAGTACTTCACTTTTTTCTACTCATGATCTGACCAAAGAATGTAGATTTGCTCTTTCTGATGTGGGTATTCAGTTCCCTTCATGAATTAATTTCTTTCAAGACATCTTCATTACTCTTTTTATCTCCTTAGGGTGTTCTCATCATTCATCAACAAACAACATCTCTGCAACTTTCTCATTATTTGTCAAGTTCAAATCTAAACAGATTTAATAGATAAGTTAATTAGGTTCTGCGACTGATTTTGTTGTTTGAGTCAGCTGGCAGACCTATGAGTGAGTGGTTTTTAATTTTATTTAAAAGTCCAGGTGTGATTTTGAAGGCCCAATTTTAAGGGGGAAAAAAATTGAACAGACCCACTACGCATGTCATAAAAGGTGATTAATTAAGTGATTGCTGCAATCAGATATGATTGGCCGAAAACTGCAGACCTCTGTAATATGTTTTTTTTTGGTAAACCTCTCAATATTTTCTAAAGTTATGGCAACAAGAAAAACACAAGGAGCAAATTCTGTGGAAGGTGATGACTGAACTAAGAGGAGGAGCACTGTCATGATGCAGACCGCAAATGACAGTGTGCACAACCCAGAGAATGAATGTATACACTGTTTCCTTCGAAGTCGGAGTACAGCTGCCCTTGAGGCAGGGAACATTAAAACGGTTGTACACGCAAAAATCAGGTCCGGGTGAAAGCCAAAAGTCCAAGCGGACGACTAACCGTGACCTTCTGCAGAATTCACAGCCGGTGAACGCAAAAAAAAAAAAAAAAAACTGTATACAGTTTTTGCACTGCTTCAAGGCTGTTTCTCACTCATTCTGATTAGCCCTTGTACTATTCAAACACATTTCTTCTACAGTCCAAGTTAATTGTTAACTATTTCAGTCCCGATTAGATTCTTATTGAGTAGTGTCTTTGGTCGAAGCAGCCAGAAGAGCATAACGCAGGACCTTTGTATCTCCATAGACACCCGAAGTGATAAAAGAGGACGTAAAGCATAAGGAGAAGAAGAAAAAGTGTTTATGCGACAGTTTCTGAATTTTAATGCAAAGGAAGGCCAAAAAACACATGGAGAAGAGAGCTGGAGAATGAAGTTGGAAAGATGGGGAGGACATGGGGAGAGCTCCATGCAATGGCGAAGGATAGAACGACTTGGCATGAGTTGGTTGAGGGTCTATGCTCCATTGGGTGATAGAAAGGCAGAAGAAGAAGAACTTACATTATACATTTGTTTCTTAACTCTTTTTATCCCAACCAGTTATTATACTATTGCCCACTGCTGTAATTGTTACTTGAGGACATTCTCTTTTAAAGTGATAAAAGTTTGACATATTCTGACCTTAACTTTTCTTAGCTAAAGTTAATATTTCTGGGACAGGAAGGGACTGAATAATATCTGCCTGGTATTTGAGTTAAGTGCCAATAAACAAATGGTGTGTGAATGGATACTGCATATGTGCATCAATCAAACATGTTATACTGCATATATATGTCTGTACATCTTACGTTTACTCAGGAAATATTAAAGCCATTGAAATAAAACAAAAACACAAAAAAGAATGTGCCATATCCACAGTGTATGTTGGCTACAGTGCAGTCACTGCTGTCTGTGACAATATTACACGATAAGGTCTCAGTCTCTTCCACAATGTGATTCTCGTACTTCTTCCTCACTTTCTCTTTTACCGCTTTGGGTATTGAGGGAGTTATAAGTTTCTGCTTCTAGCCTTTCTTGCCGCCTCAAGCACAGACACATTGTGCTGTTGTAGTGTTGATCCGATGTTAACTTTCCATCTTGTTCTTGGTCTACCTTTAGCTCTACGTCTTTTTCCTCCAACAGAGAGTGAGTGATGTTTATAACACTATCAGGACCTTTAACATCCGGGGAAACACTACGCCACCATTTGGAGAGATCCCCGAAGTGCAAGTCCCAGAAACCCTGTTCGACAGTTAGGTTATATTAGGGTCCCTAACGACAGCGAGAGTAGGGATTTTAGTGTATGCCTTGCGTGGTGTGGCTTCACAAGCCACTCTCTCTCTAAGTGGTCAAATCGTATTTGCTGTCTTTGTTTGTAATTTAGAACTGATTCTGTGCTGACTTTTTCTCTTATGACCTCATTTCTGATTTCTAGTCCCTCTTGCACCCCTTCTTAGCTACCCCATGTCCATGGTTTTAGAGGCGACTCTTAGCTATCACACTGTTGTCTGAAAAACAGATAATGATAAACCATGGACTGTGGAAATCAAAACATAGCACTCACAGACCATGAAATTGTTAAAACACATTCATTAACCTCTGAGCTCTTTAACAGCAAATTATTTTATACTAGTGATGTGTAGGTGGCCCCCTTTGGATGTGGTATGCCTATATGTTATGGGAATGAGAGAGATAAATAAAAAAAAAAAATAGCTGTATGTAACATAAGCTTAGCAGCTTTTTTTCACAATGCACATTTTCGTGGTTATATATATAATACAATAATTAAAATAATGAATAATGGGAAGATAATGATTACAGCTGGGGGGGGGGGGATGGGAAGTCAACGTGGAGAGTGGGGAAGATTATAATAACAATAATAGCAACAATATGGCAATCAAATAAAACAATTTAAGAAATTTGTGGTCACTGGTATTCTAGTAATTCTACTTCTTGTAGGAACATGGTTTAATTTTCTCAAAGATGAAATATTAAAATATTATTTATATCTTTTCAATATCACAGATGGAATTCAGTCTAACCGCTTTAGCCTTTCTTATCAACATTTTTTGTAGATATGGAATCAGGTCTAACCGCTTTAGTCTTTCTTATCAACATTCGTTGTAGAGCTGGAATCCAGGCTAATCCCTTTAGCCTTTCTTATCAACATTCGTTGTAGAGATGGAATCCAGTCTAACCCCTTTAGCCTTTTTTAATCAACATTCTTGTACAGCTGGAATCCAGTCTAAACACTTTAGCCTTTCTTATCAACATTCGTTGTAGGGTTTAACTTGTATGTCCTTGTTTCTTCAATCCATTTGTTTCCCATCTCAATGCCTTCTGTATATAATTGCATCCTTTACAAAACGTTATTTACACAACTGTATTTGGAAGTAGCAATATTAAACTGAAATAAACAAATTCTCATTAAGTGGTCAAATAGTGAATAACTAACTACAAGGGTTTCTAAACAAGTGGTGAGATTACGTGGTAGAGTTTCTTGTTTATGATAACATGAGGAGATGGGCTTGTCCTCAGAGACGGGCCCAGCATCGTGACTTAGTGCTGATGTGACGAATGAGAATGATGTGGGTACTTGCAAATGAGGACCGGCACCTCTGAGTGGTGCAGCACACTTTCACTGGTGCTGCCCAAGATTGTTCTCCGGATTTTACCCATCCCCCGAGAACCAACAACAATCAAGTCTGCCTTGATGGATTTGCTGAACTCAATAATCGCATGCCAGACATCTCTGCCAACCACTCTGTGAAATGTTCCTTGAATCTGTTGAGATCAAGAAGAGGTTTATATTCAATGGTAAATGAAGGACTACAAATGGAACGTTTGATAGCTTGGTTCTAGCTTTGGTTATCAGACCAGGGGTCAATATAAACTTATAACAATGGGATGATTATAAGTATTAGAGACAATGACAGGATTACAAGTACTTTAGACAATGACAACGGGATGATTACAAGTATTAGAGACAATGACAGGATTACAAGTACTTTAGACAATGACAACAGGATGATTACAAGTATTAGAGACAATGACAGGATTACAAGTATTTTAGACAATGACAACAGGATGATTACAAGTATTAGAGACAATGACAGGATTACAAGTACTTTAGACAATGACAACGGGATGATTACAAGTATTAGAGACAGAGTTTTTCCTGGCAGAAAACTCATCACACAGAGAAAACCTGTCAGGCAGGAACTCACCACATGTAGTTTGACAAAAAGTGAAAGGGGCTGGGGGAATCATCCCACAGGCATAAATTTACAGAGGGAGGGAAAAAAAACTCACCACACAGTTTGATCAGGGAGGGAAAAAACTCATTACAAAGGTATAATTCACAGGGATAATCTGGCTTATGACAGAGAATGCACAGGAACACTTTAACTGATGGGAGAAAACTCATCACACAGGGATACTTGGACTGATGGAAGAAAACTCATCACACATGGACACTTTGACTGATGGAAGAAAACTCATCACACATGGACACTTTGACTGATGGAAGAAAACTCATCACACAGGGACTCTTTGATTGATGGAAGAAAACTCATCTCACAGTGACACTTTGATTGATGGAAGAAAACATCACACTGGACACTTTGACTGATGGAAGAAAACACATCACAAAGGGACAGTTTGACTGATGGAAGAAAACTCATCACACAGGGACACTTTGATTGATGGAAGAAAACTCATCACACAGGGACACTGATTGATGGAAGAAAACTCATCACACAGGGACACTTTGATTGATGGAAGAAAACTCATCACACAGGGACACTTTGATTGATGGAAGAAAACTCATCACACAGGGACACTTTGATTGATGGAAGAAAACTCATCACACAGGGACACTTTGATTGATGGAAGAAAACTCATCACACAGGGACACTGATTGATGGAAGAAAACTCATCACACAGGGACACTTTGATTGATGGAAGAAAACTCATCACACAGGGACACTTTGACTGATGGAAGAAAACTCATCACACAGGGACACTTTGACTGATGGAAGAAAACTCATCACACAGGGACACTTTGACTGATGGGAGAAAACACATCACTAAGGGACAGTTTGACTGATAGGACTAAACTCATCACACAGGAGAACACTTTGAGTGAAAAGAGAAAACTCATCACAGAGGAACACTTAAACTGATGAGAGAAAACTCATCGCAACAGATTACATCAATAAGATATCTGTAAGACACATCCGTAAGATATCTGTAAGACACATCCATAAGTTATCTGTAAGACACATCCATAAGATATCTGTAAGACAGGTGTGTGACCAGTGACGTTGTTATTATCATGATGTTTATCAACCGTACATAAACTAGTTCTCTTTGCTGACTTGATTTTGCAGAATGATTTTGTTTTTAAAAATAATTTTTGATCCACGGTAAATTAAAAAACGTTCAGTAAAAGTTCAGTTCAAAGGTCCCGATCTTTTCCTTTATGTTGTGAGATGGTTCCCTATACACATTCACATAGTGTCATGAGAAAGACATACGTTATCAACTATATTAATAAAAATAGTTCAACTGTTTACAAATTAAAAGCTGTTTAAACCCACCATTTTCTTCTTCATGTGTTAACCCTTAACTCTTTGAGTCCCAGCGGGTTTAGCACCACAGGCCCAAGGGGTAGTCAAAAGAGACTTTAATCGGCGCATCATGCGTAACCTATGAACGTATGATAGGTTCCTTGGGACTCAAAGAGTTAAAAGAGAAATTGGCATATTTTGTTGCGGTTTACAGCAATGCTGCAGTATCAGCACCTTTTGGCCCCACGCTGCAATTTCAGCAAACCCTTAGTAAGTTTTAAGGAGGCAGTGGGTCTATTCCTTTTCTATTCCACCAAAATTAACAGGCAAACAGACTGGATGGATCTGCACCACCAGGTGGTGAACTGATACATGACAAGGCAGAGGTGGTCAGAGCCCTTTGGGAACAAGCAAGTAGAGAAAGATGATTATTATGGCCTCAAAGAATGAGGCATCTGGGTGTAACCAGAGGGTCTGGCTGGCTCACTACACTCACAGGAAAGGCAAAACGGGCATATAACCAGATTGTGACAAGTACCATCAGTATTGGAACTCTGCACTGGCTGCTGAAGATGGAGATGGAGCAAGTATTGGAATGCCCCAAGTGCTGTGATGTCAATTCTAAACTCACTCAACTCAACTCAACTCAACTCAACTCAACTCAACTCAACTCAACTTCACCAAAATTAGGGCCCCTGAACCCAGACAGGGATTATACTAGGATGAGAACCTGCCCAAGATGCTTATATTCTAATCAGGAATCACTTAACAGTAAACAGCACCAAACAAATTCGAGAGGATGTGAATTTAACATCACAGAACTGTGGGCGATTCTAACAAAGATGGTGGAGAATGTCTTCTTCTTCTTCCTAGCGTTCACCGGCAGTAAACTCCTGAAGACAGCTCTGGTTGTTCAAGGTAAATCAAAGATAGATGAAGGGTTAACTGAGAAAAGATAATGTTGTAAGAGATTTGAGAGGATAAAAGAGCTGATGGTAGAGCAAAGATGGAGAAGTGGGGGAGTCTAGTAAAGATTTATTTTACAACATGCAGATGAGAACAGATAAATAAGAAAGAGGCAGATCAAAGGCAGAGGTGAAAGCTGTCTGAAGGGAAACAGCAGGTGATGGGGGGAAATATATAGAAGCAGATGGGTAAGCATACCCTTTAAATAATGATGTAAATAAGCAAGATTAGGGTTAACAGATGATATCATCGATAATGCAAGACCGGGGCTAAACTAAGAGCTGAACCAGAATAGAACAAGGAGATAAACAAGGTAGCATAAACACTTCAACAAGCCCAGGAATGTGTTTCATAAAAGTGCAGGTAAGCAAGTCTACAGTGGCTAAGCCTATAATCATTTCTGACATTGACCCACGGTGCACTTTAGAAAGAAAGCCAGCAGCTATTTAAGGCAGCCATGGGAGGTAACCTACATTGTTGTCCTTGAACACTTGGGTGACATGAGCCTCGATATGTGCAGCCTTCTGTTTGTCTTCATGTACCAGCTCTTGAATCCTGCCAGGTGTGGGCCCTGTGTGTTGTTATGTATTTATTTGTGTTAAAATTAGTGAAAGTATGAGGTTTTCAAACAGCAACTATTCATCTACTGTCTATAGACATAAAAAGAAATTATACTACTTGTCTACAGATTTAAAATTTAACCATACACATACTATCTATATATATCAAAAGTAACTACATAACTATACACCTACTGTCTACATATTTCAATGGTTACTACAAACTATTGTCTACAGATTTGACAAGAAACTTTACACTTACTGCATACAGATTTGAAAAGTAACTATATACCTAGTGTATATACAGATCTGAAAAGTAACTGTACACCAGCTATCTACAGATATGGAAATTAACTATACACTTAACTGTATACAGATCTAAAAAGTAACTATACACTTACTGTATCATTATCATCATCACGTGCCATGCCGGTAAGCGCAGGCTGTCATGTTTTGCCATCTAACACAATCACCAGAATCCCGGACCAGTTCAATGTTTTTGTCTCACCCCATCCTTTTTGCTTAGCCACCATCCAGGTATTTATCTCTTATCCTTCCTCTTGCTCTCTTTCCATCAATCTTGCCTGTTGTTTCCAAATTCTCCAGTCAATGTTTTTCTCACGACATGTCCAAAAAACATAAGACTGTCTATGTCCAGTCGTTCTAATAAATTTACTACTTTCATCTGTCTCGATGAGGACTGCTTTCCTTCCATGATATTCTTTGAAATCGTCTCAGAAACCACATCTCTGTTGCGAGTAAATGTTAAATGTTTTTAAATTTGTTTACTTATTTTCCATGTTTCACATGTATATAACAAAACAGGTTCTATATAGTATTTTAACACTCTTTTTCTCACTGCGATTAACACTATATAGCACTTTAACTCTTTGAGTCCCAAGAAACGCATCATACGTTCATAGATTCCTACCTAGAAGCCCAATGAATGCAAGATATGCCGATTTTATGCCTATCTTGACTACCCCTTGTGCCTGTCATGCTAAGCCCCCTGGAACTCGAAGAGTTAACACTCTTTTTCTCACTGCGATTGACATTCTTTCGTTTGCACCTAACTAAAGGCCACTTTTGCCATGGTGATTCTTGTTTTAATTTCTGCAAGGCATCTATACCTACAGTATAGAGGTCTGAAAAGTAACTATACACCTACTGTCTATAGATTTGAAATCTAACTACACACCCACTGTCTACAGATTTGAAATCTAACTATACACCCACTATCTATAGATTTGAAATCTAACTATACACCTACTGTCTACAGATTTGAAATCTAACTATGCACCTACTGTCTACAGATTTGAAATCTAACTATACACCTACTGTCTACAGATTTGAAATCTAACTATATACCTACTGTCTACAGATTTGAAATCTAACTTTACACGTACTGCCTACAAATTTGAAAAGTAATCATACACCTGATGTGTATATATCTGAAAAGTAACTATACACCTACTATCTATACACTTGAAAAGTAAATTATAGACCTAGTCTGTACAAAATCTGAAAGTAACTATACACCTACTGTTTCAAGGTTTGAAAGGTAACTATACACCTACTATCTAGATGAGTGAAAAGTAATTGGACTCTTTTTGAAAATATATATTTACAGATTTTAAAAAAACAACTGTACACTAACTACCTACAGCTTTCAAAAGTATCCAATCTGTCTGCAGATTTAAAACACAACTATACACCTATTATCTACACATTCAAAACACAACTATACACCTATTATCTACACATTCAAAACACAACTATACACCTATTATCTACACATTCAAAACACAACTATACACCTATTTTCTACACATTCAAAACACAACTATACACCTATTATCTACACATTCAAAACACAACTATACACCTATTATCTACACATTCAAAACACAACTATACACCTATTATCTACACATTCAAAACACAACTATACACCTATTATCTACACATTCAAAACACAACTATACACCTATTATCTACACATTCAAAACACAACTATACACCTATTATCTACACATTCAAAACACAACTATACACCTATTATCTACACATTCAAAACACAACTATACACCTATTATCTACACATTCAAAACACAACTATACACCTATTATCTACACATTCAAAACACAAATATACACCTGCAATTTCAGTTTAGAACAAACATACATCTATTATCTACAAATTCCAAACGTACTATACTTTTTCTTTTTAGTGCTCACAAGCTGTAACTTTGGCTGAAAGTTCTGATTGTTCATCCACTTTTGGACTACAGTCATGTTCTAGAACTTAAGTTCTGCATGCACATCTGTTTTACACAACTGGCTTATTTGCATGCAGACTGTTACTTCCTGTCAGGCACATGCACTGTCTGTTAAGGAAATTTCCCTGATGTCTTGACTTTCACAACATCCCTTTTTAGGGGAGCTTTTTAGGGTTTAATTTTTCCCCCTACAATGGGAACCTGCAACCCACACTGGGTTAGTACTATACAAGTACCATCTAGAGATCTGAGAAATAACTATAAGCCCACCATCAACAGATTCAGGAAACAGGTGGTTAGTGCATTCGCATGCTAAGACAATGGTCCAGTTTGAATCCAGCAGAAGCAGGATTACTTTAACCACCACCAACATCACCAAAACCACCACTACCACCACCACCAACATCACCAAAACCACCACCACCACCAACATCACCAAAACCACCACAACCACCAACATCACCAAAACCACCACCACCACCAACATCACCAAAACAACCACCACCACTACCAACATCACCAAAACCACCACCACTAGCAGCAGCTGCAGCAGAATGATGATGATGATGATGGTGACAATGAAGAAGAAGAGGAAGAAGAAGAAGAAGAGGAAGAAGATGAAGAAGAAGAAGAAGAAGAAGAAGAAGAAGAAGAAGAAGAAGAAGAAGAAGAAGAAGAAGAAGAAGAAGAAGAAGAAGAAGAAGAAGAAGAAGAAGAAGAAGAAGAAGAAGAAGAAGAAGAAGAAGAAGAAGAAGAAGAAGAAGAAGAGGAGTAAGGAGAAGAAGAAGAAGAAGAAGAAGAAGAAGAAGAAGAAGAAGAAGAAGAAGAAGAAGAGGAAGAAGAAAAAGAAGAAGAAAAAGAAGAAGAAGAAGAAGAAGAAGAAGAAGAAGAAGAAGAAGAAGAAGAAGAAGAAGAAGAAGAAGAAGAAGAAGAAGAAGAAGAAGAAGAAGAAGAAGAAGAGGAGGAGTAAGGAGAAGAAGAAAAAGTAAAGACGTACCTTCCAGAACTCCAACATCTCCATAGTAATCACCCACATAGAGGGCAAACACGTTGTTCCCCTCCCGGTGAAGACACCTGATATAGACTGAACAAAAGCACACCGTCATACACATGGTCCAAATATGACAAGTTTAACATAACTTTTAAATTAAAACAACAATTATGTCACAGAACACTGCACCACTGATAGTCTTCTTTACCAGCTGTAGCAGTATGGTGAAAACAAGGCTAAACAGACTTTGTTTGAGTCAAGTTGGTGGCGACAGACTTTGCTTGAGTCAAGTTGGTGGCGACAGACTTTGCTTGAGTCAAGTTGGTGGCGACAGACTTTGCTTGAGTCAAGTTGGTGGCGACAGACTTTGCTTGAGTCAAGTTGGTGGTTACAGAGTTTGGGTGTCACAAAATGATTGGGGACAGACTTTGCTTGTGACAAGATAATTGTAGATAGACTTTGCTTGTGACAAGATGATTGGGACAGACTTTGGATGTGACAAGATGTTTGGGAACTGACTTTGCTTCAGTCAAGTTGGTGAGGACAGAGTTTAGGTGTCACAAAATTATTGGGGAAAGACTTTGATTGTGACAAGATGATCGGGAACAGACTATTATTGCGCCATATTGACCTGGGAAAGACTGCATGTGGCAGTATGGCTGGGAACAGATGCAGTTGGAACAGTCTTTGCTTATGACACTATCCATATGGACATAAGAGGTGGGGGGATATTATTACTGGGGACATACTCTGATTGTGATATTAATGGCGGTGTGCTCTACTTGTGATAATATTACTGGGGACACTCTGCTTGTGGCAAGAAAATGGTGGGGGACAGACGATGCTTGTGGTAGTTTTACTGGGTACAAATTATCCAAGTGGAAATATTACTGGGGACAAACTAGGTCGCTGACAAAATTACTGTGGACAGAAACCACAGGTGAGGACAGACTATGTTTGTGGTACAAGACAAAACAACAGTGGTAGCACACTACGTGTATGGCAATACACGGGTGCAAACAGTGGGGGCAGACTAGCCTGACATAGTATTACTGGGGACAATCAGGACAGAAGACTAATTTTGACCAATTACTGGCCCAGATATTGAAAACCTTAAAAATTACTCTTACTGGGACAATTGTTTGCTTTCGGGGATAAAATTCTGTCTAAAAAGGAACAACTTTGAAGTTGCGATTGTAGAAAGACTGTCAACAAAAATTCGGACATCAAAGCACATTAAACGCGTAAACAATCTATAATTAAAAACAAGTACAACAAAGGTCACTACAAAGGAGCTGTGAACATGTCTTGTCACGACCATGTATAATTATGAATAATTCACAAACAAGCCGGGTAGCCCTCGCGTCCCGCTTTAATTATCACTACACACTTTCTGCCCTTGCAGCTTTATCTAAGGTCAGTTTTGTTTAATGATATCGGTATACGTGTTGTTTTATGGCGCTTCTGGGTTCGTTCGGTTTCAGTAGCTCCAGGTCCATTTGTTGTTTGTTACCCACTTATGCAGGCTGTTAATGGCTTGACACGTCTTGGCCCAAACAATTAACAGGCATAACGGAGAGTAAAATCGGTTGTATAGAAGCGACAGAAGATAGTAAGAAGGTTACTTGCGTTTCATCTACAGGACGTTGCAGAACCAACAGCAGCCCCTGGCTGTTGTATGGTTTCTCTAAGCAAATTTACGTCCAGTAGTTTGCCACTGCCTCTTGGACGGTCGGCCCTCTGACACCACTGTCGAAACTAACGTAAGGCGCATGGCCCGCAGCTGGGATCGAACCCGGCACCCTGGCATTACGAAGCGTTCGCATCGACTTAGCCACAGAGCCGACAATATAAGAAGACTGGTTACAAATTATGTGGAAGCTGCAAAGATTATATCAGAATGAGGAAAATACAGTGAACTGAAAAAACAAAAAAAAAATGAACGAAGATTTCATGGAAGCTGTGTCAATCACAAACAATAGATTATCGGCATTAAAGGATAGCACTTCATACTCTTTTAATGTGCCGTGGGAATGGATAAGCTGGAGGAGAAGAGAGGCAGAAAAACTGGGAGGAAAATCGGGGGTGGGGGGGGGGGGGTGGAGTTTAGTCTCATAGCATGCGGGGGAGGGGTTGGGGGCAGTTTAGTACTATAGCCTGCAATGGATTGGGGGGGGGGGGGGGGGGGGGGGGGGAAGAATCAGAAATACTTCTGCTTTATCATCATTCGTTTAAGTGTTGCAATTGCGTTGTGACTGTTTACAGTATAGTTGCTATATTTGTGCCTTTCGGCTGACACATCCGACTTCACTTGGCATTTGTTTACTTGGTTAGCATTTGGGGTTAAGTTTGTAGGACATAACGTAGCCTTATTTGCGCAGTGTCCCTAACAAGCATGTCGTAAGAGTCGACGCTTCGAAGTTCGGATTGCATCTACCAACTTTACATCAAGGAACCAACCAGTTCTGGTACAAAAATGACAGTTCTGTAAAACGGATGTGCACGGAAAACTCAAGTTCTGGAACAAGATTAAAGTCGAGAAGTGGACGAGTAACCAGAACTTTCCGCCTGACTCTACAGTCGGTGAACGTAAAAAAAAAAAGAGAGAAGAGTGGAACCTATGGAAGAGGACATGTGAACCTTGTCTACCACACAGCAGAACATGTGACCTGCCGGAATTCAGAATCTTGCCTGTCAAAAAGTAAGCCGTTCCATGGTCGGGCCTTTGGACATTTGGACCTAGTCAGCAATTCATTCAGTTGGACTGTCGATCGACAGACGTTTGAACCGTGGTTGTCACGTTGTAAGGTATTCGGCCAGCGTGCTTCAATCACGTCTAAGGAAGAATTCCATTGACGTTATCATTAGCGTATTGTGGATGAGCTGACGAGAGCCAGAGCTGGGAGCAAACTACGAGATCCCCTGCCAGCTCAGTTTAGACCAGTATAGACCAATGAGACATCACCAACCAAGTGCCCATTAGATAACTTTCCATCAAGTCTGTGACCGAAAACACCGCCCTGCTATAAGAAGTTAGTTAGTCGACAGAAAATCTGCTTTGCACATTGAACCATTCAATCCACTAGGTGCTCTGGTCTTCTCCTGAGTAAATCCTGCAGCGTGTAGCGGCTACCACCATCAGTTGTTATTCTTCTTTGGCTTCCTGCACAGTGCTCTTGTCTGGCCATACCCCTTTTAATATACTATAAGAAGTTACGGGTATACAGTACACGATACAGGAGTGTGCGGATAGTAAAGTACTTCAGAACACTTACCCACGTTTTCAGGCGTATTGGGTACATAAGCCTAGTCCCATAATTTACAGACCATTAGCCCGGCTCTCTAGCGTAGTTGGCTAAATCGGATTGTGCGGTGACCGGGTGACGAACTCCTTGTGGTCCGGGTTCACTCCCAGGGGTAGGCAGAAAAGCCACATTTCTCCCAGATTTACGGTATTTATCATGGAATCAAGGCCAAAAGGTTGCGATATCAATAATACCGAGCCCAAGGATTAACAACTCATGGCTTCTGGATACTAAAACAAACAAAAAAACCATTCGGCACTGGGTGGGTGGTGTGGTCAGTATGACGTCAGCCGCCTATACTTCACAGGACTGTACCTGGCACCCACTCAAGGCTGGGTCAATCTGAGTGGCATGACCCCACAACCTTCACATCTTTAGGCGAGCGGTTTTGCCGCTACACCACGGCGACATTGGTGTGTTGACAGGCATGAGACATTATGGCAAATAATAAATATTTTGGACAGACCGCTAAAAGAAGGGAGGACACAGAGACAGAGGTTTTTAAACAATGGATCAACATCATGGCACACGGGTAGTAACCCATAAGTGCTTCTTTCTTCTTCTAACTCAAGTCTGAGCCTTTTTAACTCAAAATTTTGCACGAGCAGCGCCGATACGCTACTCTTTTCGATTTTCAACTGCCAAGGGATTTTTGTTTACGTGCGCAACAGTGCACACGGCGTCTGATCCCAGAGACCAGGGTGAATTACTAGAAGTTCAAGTCAACGTGAAAAAATCCCAGCCCTTACCGGGGATTGAACCCGGAACCTCTAGCACTCGAGACAGACACCACGACTGGAGACCACGCACCCCTCATAGAAAGAGATAGAGAGGCACACCAAGCCGCTCCGGTAATGTCACAATGGATGCATTCGACCCTCCTGTTATACAAGCTATTTTGTTACTTACAAACATTCGGAGACCGAAAAAAGGAGAGGGGGAGAGAGAGGGAGGGAGAGAGAGAGAAGGGGGAGGGGCAATTTAGTTCAATTTTTTTCTTCCTCTTAACAAATTTACCGTGCCCCACTGCTAGGCGGGCGCTGTTATATCGTGCAAACAAAAACAAAGTAATTTAACGAGGGAGACAGGCCGGAAAGGAGCGATTTTGAGCCATAAGTGTGTCATATATCTGCCGTCACGCGTTCACCACAATGTCAACCGCAAAACGGAACTTGTAGACATAACCAAATGTACACACACGTATAATAAATTAGTGTTCGCCTTTTATCGGGGGGGGGGGGGGGGGGTGAAACAGCGCCAAGTGGGAGCCTGATAACAAGGGTAGGCTGTGGGCTTGTGGGTTGGTTAGTTGCGTATCCATTACAGGACGTTGCAGAACTAACCCCAGCAGACCATGGCTGTTGTGTGGTTTCCCTAGGCAAATTTAAGTCCAGTAGTTTGCCATTCCTTTCTGGACGGTTGGCTTTCTTGATACCACTGTCGAAACCAAAGCAAGGCGCATTGCCCGCAGCTGGGATCGAACTCGGCACCCCGGCATCACGAAGCGTTCGCATCGACTTAGCCACAGAGCCGACGGGCTTGTGGGTAAAGCGTGGGAAAGACAAGTAAGCCAGAAACATAGAGGGGCTGACACCGATGGCAAAAGACTAATGGAGAGAAGCAGTGGGAGAGACAGAGATACATAGATTGAAAGAAGCTGGGAGAGGAAGAGACAGCTAAGGACGCATAAACATGACAAAGCAGATGTGGTCAAGGCCCTTTGGGAACAAGCAACGGAATCAGTAGAGAAAAAAGATTATTATGGTCCGTTTCGTGGCTGGGTGTAAA